AAATTAAATAAAAATATATAAAAAAAAAAAAAAAACGAAAAAATATTTTATTCTAAATTAGTTTGATAGCTACTAGTCTTCATTGACATGTCTTCTTTATTTTGCTTTGAGTAATAAATTCTGATGAGATATGATATGAAGCGTGTCGATGTATATATATATATAGAAAGGTGTGATTCATATCTCATGATTAAAAATATCAATAGAAATTTTGTATTGTTCCATCTTATTATTCACATTACATCACATCGATGTGATGATCATCAAGCATGAAATACGAGCATACGAGGTGTGAGTTAATCAAAAAAAGTCATTCGAATAAAACTAGATTATAATTTTTTGACTCATTGGACAGATGGTTTATGTCGTTGTGTCATATACGTATGTATTCAAAAGTGAATATAAAAAGAAATAGACTATTTCTGGTTCTCGAAGACAATACAATCGATCAAGCTAAAGTTTCTTAATACAGACAGAGCACCAAATATTTGAGGAAACAAATTTTAAAATTGATTTTTCCTCCTAACCTCTGGTTTTCGTAGGACAGCATCCTGGATGCGTGCGACCCACATTAAACTATATCCGATTGATCTCAGTTATTTTTTGAGAGAAATACATAAATGTTCGATGCTAAAATTGCAATCTTAGCTTTCAGAATTCTGTAAAGCTGTACTGTCTTCGAGAAGCAGAAATGGTGAAAATAAAAGTGTTCTCTCGTTTTGTGTTACGTTCTTCAAATTTCTACATGGTTATTTACAATTTTTTCTCTACTTAGAGAAAATGAGTCGTTTTCGTTGCACTCTCATAATAGTGATAGGTCTGAAACATCTCTACTAGCCACACAGTCCAAATCGACTCTAGTTATGAGATAAAGTTTTATTAGTAAAATATATTGTGAAACTGTTTGAATTCTTTCTAATAGATGCTTCGAATTTGGATAAAAAGCACTCTCTGCTATCGTTCATAGTTGGCATCGAAAATCGTAAATACCACCACCAGTTCTTATGAATATTGTAGAAGTGCTGACAAATCATCCAGAAACATTATAACTGAACATTAAAAGAAGTTATGAATTATGCTTTTTCTTTCTCCGTATCCTGATGGTTCACTTATTGCATTCTATTGTGCATTTTATTTAATTATTTCGGATCTTCTATACATTCTTTCACTAGTCAAATGCAAGTGATCAACAGAATTGTGCATAAAAAAACTAGTAGAATGACATTTATTGTTTGTTTCATTGTAATTAGAACATAACTTATGAATTGAATAGAAATAAAATTCGATGTTGACAGCCTATCAATTTTTCTATTCGTTGATTGATTACGTGATCGATTGGTTAGTTTTAATGTATATTATCGACGACAAACTTCAAAAGAACATATCATATCTATTTAGATGTTTTAATTCATTACTCAGATATTTATAATAAAAAGCGTGTCGGCAATAGTGTTGGATGAGTAGTATTCAGTCAGTACATGTCACAAATAAACTTACATTCTGTTTGTGCCTGAGGCGTGGTGACACGCGTACTCATCATTAAGATCGATGATAGAAGAAGAAGCTTTGATCTTTTGTATGCACGATCAGATATATACATTTGATAATTGAAGACAAATAATGTGTTTTAGTTTTTGTTGATGCATTTGTATGTACTATCTAATGATTCTTTCTGATGTTTTTACCTATTTAGAATAACTTGTGAATACATTGGTGGACAATTCTCACCTTATATGCAGTATCACCAATAATAAAATTATTCTATGACAGATAAATGAGATATACTCATCATTCGGAAATTCAACGATATTAAGTGGGATTCAGTGTTTGAAGCATCCACATCACGATTGTATGTGCTAGTCTTAGTAGTTCCATCAGTGGAGATATGTATTATCACATTTTAATCCTCCTCACGGTAGAAAGATCTACGTTTTCTTGAATGATTCTAAATCTGAAGAATTCAGAAAAATGAAGTGGATTTCAGTTTGGAGTTCCTAAATCGGATTTGTATGTGTCAATCTTAGAAACTCTTTCAATTAGCTTACGTTTCAGTGCTTTGAATTACTCTCACTGTAGGGTGTTTTGAATTTCACCTCAATTGATGCTGAATTTCCAATTTCTGAATGATGCATACTGGTGATCATCAAATGTTTAGGTAGAATCTAATCTTGTTCTCGGTATATTGATACAATTTCAAAATCTTTAACTTACGGATTAACTTGCCTTTTTGTAACAATCATTGACTTTCATTTTTATTTTAAACTGAAAACCTGTTTAAATTCAATAAATCGAACTAAATCAGCCTGTTTCGTTTTTTGCCAAGTAGCATATGACTGGAAAGGATTTCTTCTTCTAGATTGTAACTCCACTCAGATTAGATAGGAGTCTGTCATATATTACTGATCGTAACGTATTTCTTTGTTTCATTATTTGTTCATGCTTTATCTTTATTCTGCAACATAGTTCGGTCATTTGTTTTATTTTTAAGTTCTAGTCATCAGTGGATGATGCTAGCTAAAAAAAATATAAAAAGTTCAAATAACAAATTTGACTAAAGTAACATAAGAAGAATGTGTCAATACTTTTGATATACCAATGTTTATTGCGATTATATGTTGTTTTTCTTATATCTTTTCTCCACTCGTCTGTTTTGTGAGTTATGGTAAAACAAAATATTAATATGATTTTGTCTCCATTTCTTTCAAAAGCAAAAATTCAAGTTCCGTAAGATTATGAATGGCTTTTCAAAAAGGCTTTCGATAAACTCCAACAAGAAACGCACAAGTATTTAAAATATATGAAATGAAACTTGTTATAATTTTTGAAAATGTTATAAAAATCATACGGATGTCATCAAGATATTGAAAAGACTTGATATATCTGTTTTCTTTCTCAGGATACATGCTGAGTTTCTGACTTGTCATACACTTTCCAAAGAAAGAAAAAAAAAAACTTTGTGGAACAGTCCCTATTTTTTTAATGAAAACGATCACTTAGATGAAAGCAGATTGTTGGCGTAATTCAACAGCGAAAAACTAAAGAGATGCTATTGGGAATATTGTCAGTTGATAAAACAACATTTTGATGTGTGAGAGAAACTAAACACAATCAGAGGTGAATGTTAAAAAATTCAGCAAAAGAATTTATAACAATGAAAAAGATTGACAAACATAAAAATTAAATATAAAAAGAAGAAAAAAAAACATTTTCTGTAGGGCGTAATTTTTCTTATCAGTCATTGAATTGATTTGCTGCATATAACGTAGATCTAACAGATTTATAGTTAGCTCATAGTTGCTATTTTCGATTTCAATTAATTTGGTTTAATGTTATTCGTTAGATATAAATTTGATTCTGACAAACTTCGTAATTACACTGCCGTAATCAGAAGTCTTTCATTCCATCATCTTATGAAAAGCATGCGCACTTTCCATAATCTTTTGAGATTTTTCTGTTTGTATTTAATGAAGAGAATATACTTGTCAAAAATATTCAATTATGAAAACAAATCTAACTGTATGAAAAATGAGAATTGATATAAAACCAAAATATTTATCATCTTAATAACGAAATGACATAAAGTATTATTTATTTATTTTCTTTTAAGATTTTGAAACAAAAATATATTTTCTTTGATTTTTGATTAATTATATATATTTGATCCAAGTGTAAAATCCAATGTTGTATCTCAAGTTTGTCACTAAATTTTTTTTTCTATAATTCTCAATATTGATTTGGATAAAAACTTCAGTGATTAAGTCTAAATCTATGATATTGAATTATTTCGGTTATATTGATAATATCTTCTGACAGGTCTTTTATTATTGAAATTTTCCTAGGTAAACAAGAAAAAGATGAGCAATAATACTTTGTGATCCATTTGTATAATCATCTACACCTTCTTGAATAAATGCCGTATTTTAAGTCACCTTTGTTTCTCAAAGAACTATCCATAACTATTAACTGATATCGTTGAATTTTCTCATTTGAATTCTATCTTATTTTAATAATACGAATTCATTCTTCTCATTTTCAAGTTTCGAGACAGTTTAAACGAGGAATAAAATGAATTGTTTCGAAAACAATATTTGAGAAACGAAAGTATCGATAAATTTTCAATTTTACTCTAGTTTCGCTTCTGTTTCGATTGATTTATAGATTTAAAGTCAATCGATAGCTTTCATATTTGTTTTTCTAGAAAAAAATGTTCTGATCTTATTGAAGAAAGTTTAGTCTTCGTCTGAAAACGCTACTTGTCATTTTTTTAATAACTTATTAAGACTTCATATAATGATCATCTTAGTAGAAATATAACAAACATATTTTATTAACGATGGATAACTGCTTAAAACTTTTCAGAAAACTTTCATTTGCCAATATTTTTTCGGTTCACTCGTTAACAAAGGTAGAATGCGAAACAATGACGATAGTACATTGAAAGTTGCTCTGTATTATTACTAACTCGATCTTGGATCAATATTGAATCGCTGTATTCGATCATTGTCAAAATCATCAACATAGAGATAGCCATGTCGATCAAATGATAAACCCTGAGAATAATGGAGTTGATTCGGTTGCTCTGCTTGATTATTTCCATCAACAATAACGATAGCTTGTTTATCTTCTTTTGACCAACGCATTACTCGATTGTTGTCACAATCTGCAACATAAACAGTACCTAACTGATCAACAATGACTCTATGGGGAGCAAACAATTGAGCTAGGGCATTTCCTGAACCTTAACCACCGGCAACAACAATCCCTTCTCTAGCACCTTTTATCCATTTCATTACACGATGATTGTTCTCATCTGATATGTACACTGAATAATCTTGATCCACAAAGATGTGATCAGGACTATTGAGCTGATTGAGACGATTACCTTCTCCATGACCACCTGCTACCAGTGCTCCATTCGTGTCGCCCAACCACCATCGTCTTACTTCATGCTTCTCGTAGCCAGAAATATAAAAATATCTATCATTATCCATTGCTAGTCCCCTGCATCCTCTAACATCGGAGATGACTGCTTGTCCACTTGTACCATTTCGACGAGGCCATTCCACCACTCACCTTTTGCCTTCATCACAAATAAGGAGACAATCTTTCTCTCTATCAACAATCACATCTGTTGGCCTATCTAATTGATTAGTTCGATTTCTTTTTCCTTTTCATCCGCCACGACTTAGCCATTCATTACTCCATACTTCCATTCTATAATGCGATGATTATAAGTATCAGCGATATAGATAGCTTGTTCATCGTTATCAATGCATATACCACATGGGTCATTGAGTTTATTTAATGCATTTCCCTCATTGTTACCTCCAAGATCCGTAATACCATTTTGTGTTGACACTAATTTCCATCATGTATGATGATACTACAATGGAACTAAAGTTAATGACGATAAAAAGATTTAGCTTTTTTCTCTGCGATCAACTTCGATACAATTGTGAAAAAAAAAATTTCTTTACATACAAGAAGAGTGTTTCATTGTTCAAAGTTCATTATATACATGCTTCTATAGTCGAATTACTAATAATACTATAGATTACTTTATACTCAACTTATAATTAAATTAGAATACTTTTGAATATCAGATGTAATATATTTAGTTTTCTCTCAACTTCTGCCAGATAACATTTTTTTTGGAAAAATTTCATTTATTTTTTTTTATAAAAAGTGCAACGTAGGTTGATAAATTTTCATGAAAAGAAAATTATTTCAGTTCCCTCATTATTTTTGTTTCCATAATTATTTCATTTTTTTCGAAGTTTTGATAAGTTGAAAATAAATTCAAATGTCGAAAGGTAATAACTTGATTGGTCACAATAAGATAGAAAGAATTCGTTTTAATGATCACTATGTACTATGAAAAGTTTCTTCAATAGCTTTCAACATAAATAGATTGATTTTAACAATTTACTAAGTCAATATGGATCAAGTAGATATAATAAATCAGTCAAATATAATCATTAAAGAAGATTTTTTTAAAGATTGATTCTAAACGGCATGCTACAATTATATTGTTTTCAAATGTTCAACTCCTAACAGTTACTTGGGTACAAGTAACATTTTTTCAAATCTGTGGTTTCATGTATCCAATCATTTTTTAAGAACGACTTATTTAGGACTACTTTTTTCATTCTAAAGTTTCATCGATAAGATACAATGGTTACACTAAGATAAGTTTCAGGATATGAATTTTCCAAAGGTGCTTCTACTGTCTTTGATAAGAGGAAAATTATCAAGAAAACTTACTATAGTAGTTGATATATCAACACAAATTTTTTTCACAAGTAGTTTTGAGTCTCCTCGGATTTTAATATTTAATGGTTTGTTAAGTTCATCAGTTAGCCGAACGAGTTGCTTTTTTCATCGATGTAAATCTGTTTCAATAAAATCATTTTCTTGACAATTTTGTCTCAATTGATCAGTTAATTTATTCAACTTAATTTTTATGTCAGTAATATGTTTAGCTGTATGTTTCAGTAATAATATTCTGGCTTCATCTGCTGTTTGTCGAATCGCTTTAATTGAATCACGCTCCCAATCAATAATTTGTTGTACTAAAATATGATTTTGCTGTTCTGATGTTTATTCACTTAGTGTTTGTCGAAAAAGATCACGAGTAACTTCAACTTCATCTAATTGTTTATCTAATTATTGACTATGGCCAACGAAATGATTATAATAAAAGATTTTTGAACAACCTTCACATTTTAATATTCCTTTTGTTTTTTGACATGTATCACAGAGATTTTTGTCAGTTCTCGTTATTGCCATGTGCTGAATATGCATTCGATATAATGGTGTGTCGAGAAAGCAATAGAGAAAATAATGAGAATAAGAAAAAAAGAGTATTTTTTTTTACATTGGTGTGTCAATAAAGATCACAACAGAATAAACTATTTTGAAAAATTACAACTTAAAATGAGAGAACGCAAAAAGAGATCGTTTCATGCAATGATTATGTAACTAAAATAGTGACGTAACTAGAGTAGGGTTATGAGTGGTTCAGCTGTACCATCAGAAGTTTGAGCCCTACTACTACAAAATTCAAGACATGTTCTGATGAAATATTGAAAGGATTATTGCAAAAATGAACCTTTTGGTGATTTCAAAGTGTCAAGAGTGTGTATAAGTGAATTAAACAATAAATCTGAGTTATACACAAAGCAAAGGCGTTATTTCATAAATACAGCATGCATTGACTAGATATAGATTCATTCTATTAAATAGTTCTCATCTGTCTTGCGAAAGTGAAAAAACAAAAGAAATATTTTTGGCACTTTACATATATTCGTTCCCTTAGAATAATCAAGTTTGAAAACCCAAGTTGAATAAAAATTATAATATCTTTCTTATAAACACTATGTTGGATGAGACTAAGTATAGATCCTAAAAAACAAAAAATCAATAGTAACGACATCTGTTTTGATTTTACTTTCTGAGATACAGTTATACTATCACCAATAGAATTAGCTGCCAATAATTATAATGATAGGATTTAGCGACAACTGAGTAATATAAATGCGGTCAGATGAGAAAAAAAAATAGTGTTTGAAGATCTGTTTAACACTTAATGCCAATTAACTACGAATGTAATTCTGATGTAAAGTACGGGCAAGTCAATCAGTATTTTTCAAACATCATAAGATTAATTGAACTGCGCTGCAATGCATTTCTAGGTTTTCGTTCTGATCTTTTTTAATTCGGGGTACGGGCGTGGGTGTGGGTGGGTGTGTTAATGCTTTTCTCACACGCCACACCTACATATACACCAACCCACGCTACACATCCACCCACCCCACACCCACACCCTCCTCTGCGTTATGCAATACCATTCGCCAAGTGATAATACCAATATATGGACAATAATGACCATTGACTGAGATTAACACTTGCTAAGGTATGACTGCGGGATATTCGAATGAAGACCAACTCACACTCACATCAATATACCACATTTACAGTTTCTAGACCTATATTCCGTTTTTGATTTTTTGATTTATTAAATGATTCCAAGCGCTGTCATTTCGAAACAAAATTTACTTTCATTTTCTATCATCACATAAGCAACCATCTTAATCATCTCTTTTGCTCACTTCGATAGAAAGCTCGTGACTCAGTCAGCTGATCCAACATCACATGGCAAAGCAACATTCATCAATATACTTATCTTCACCTCTTTTGTTTACTTCGAAGCAAATGTTGCAACTCAGTCAGCTGTTCAAAAATCACAAGGCAGAAGAACATCTGTAATGACACTTCTTTTCATCTCATTTCATCGCTTCCAAGAAAGATTGCGACTCCACTAGCTAATCAAACATCACATTTCAAAGGAACATTCACAACTATACTTTTCTTCACTTCTTTTGCTCACTTCAGCGCAAAAATTTCGATCCAATCACCTGATCGAAGATCACAAGGGAAACAAACCTTCATCAATATACTTCTGTTCATCGATCTTTCTCACATCCAAGCAAAGATTACGATTTGATCAGCCGATCCAGAATCAAATGGCAGAGAAACACTACTTATAAGACTTCTATTCATCTCGTTTGCTCACTTTCGAACAAAAATTGTGATGCCGTCAGACAATTGAAGATCATATGACCAACGAACATTCATAATTAGACTACAGCTCACTTCTGTTGTAAAACTTGGAAGCAAAGGTTGTGACTAGGTCAGCTCATTGAAAATCACATCAACAAGGAATATTCATAATTAGACCTCTGTTAAGCTCTTTCCTCACTTCGAAGCAAAGGTTTCAACTCGATCAGCCAATCGAAGATTACATGACAAAGGAACATTCATCAACATACTTCTGTTCACCAATTTTCCTGACTTCTAAGTCAAGGATGTAACTCGCTCAGCTGATCCAAAATCACATGGAAAAGAAACATTCATAATCAGACTTCTGTTGACCTCCTTTGCTCATTTCGAAACAAAAGTTACGACTCGATCAGCTGATCGAAAATCACAGGAAAGAGGAACACTCATTAATAAATTTCTGTTTATTTCTTTTCTTTCCTTCGAAGCAAAGGTTCTGACTCAGTCAGCTGATCGAAGATCATATGGTAAAGGCATATTCCCAACTAGACTTTCGTTCACTTCTTTTGCTCACTTCGAAACAAAAGTTGCGATTGGATCAGTTCATCAAAGATCACATGGCGAAGAAATATTCATCAATATACTTCTGTTCACCGGTTTTGCTCACTTTGAAGCAAAGGTTTCGACGGGACCAGATAATCAAAGATCACATGACAAAGCCACATTCATAACTACACTTTTGTTCACCGCTTTTGCTCGCTCCGCAGCCAACATTGCAACTCGATTAGCTGATCGAAGATCACACGCAAAGGCACAATAATAACCACACTTCTGTTCACGTGTTTGGTCACTTCAAAGCGAACGTTTCCACTCGGTAAGTTGATTGAAGATCACATAGGAAAGGCATATTCATCAAGATACTTCTGTTCATCTCTTTTGCTCACTTCCAAGCAAAGGTTGCGACAGAATAAGCTGGTTCAAGATCATATAACGAAGGACCATTCATTAAAATACTTGCGTTTACTTGTTTTTCTCACTTCGAATCGAAGGCTTCGACAGAATCAGTTAATCAAAATCATACGACATTGGAACAGTCATAACTACACTTCTGCTCACCTCTATTGCTCGCTTCGAAGCAAAGATTGCGACTCAGTCACCTGATCGAAGATCACGTGCACAGGAATAATCATAACCATACTTTTGTTCACGTCTCTGGTCACTTCAAAGTAATGGTTCTGACTCGATCAACTGATTCAAGGTCATGTGGTAAAGGAACATTTGTCAAGATAGCTCACTTCGTCTCTTTTTTCCACTTCGAAGCAAAGGTTACAACTGAGCCATCTGATCAAAGATGACGTGACAAAGGAACATTGATAACCACACTTCTTTTCACGTCTTTTGCTCACTTTGAAACAAAGGTTGTGACTGCTTC